TGAACAGGAGATCTGAGTGTGTCCTCAGTTCCATCTGTGGGCCGTGTTTCTGTGACCCTTGTTGCCTAGAGACCGTTCCTCAATGTTAGTATCATTTGCCATCGGCAGAGGCTGGGGACTCTCACAGAGCCAGCAGACCCTGCCTCCTCTGTGTGTAGCAGTTTTCTTGTACTTCACCTCTCCCTCTGCTTTTGTCAGAAGCGGCAGCAAGAAGCCAGGCAGCACAGTCAACGTGTTGCTAAAAGCATTAGCTGGGGCACTCAGGTCAGTAGGTACGGGAAGCTTACATGCTACCTCCAACAACAGGTTGCCGAGTTTCTCAAAGGCCATCAGAGAGAGCACCTTAGGCACTCAACTCACGCTCCCCTCACAGGCCTTCCAGCTCCCACCAGGGGTGCTCCCAAGGCCACACCCACACTTTTAGGGTTTCGTTATGGCAGCAGCCCTCTTCTAGGTACCAAAATCCACATCAGTGATCTTTATTGTGAAACAAGTCACCCTGAAACTTAATGACTTAAAACAGTAACTATCTCAGGGTTCCTGTGGGTCAGGAACGGAGAGTGGCTTAGGGGGACAGTGCTGGGCAGGGTCTCTCACGAGATCCCAGTGACGGTGTCAGCCGGGGGCTGGCTGTGCGCAGGAGGCCTCAGCCCCTCTCCACACGGGTCCCCCCGCCCCCAGAGCCTGCTTGAGTGTCCTCCCCACACAGTAGCTGGCTTCCTCCAGAATAAAAGCAAGGTGGAAGCTGCTGTGCCCTTCCTGATCTAGCCTCGTAGTCACGTGCGATCACCTCCAAAACACCTTATTGCTCCCAGGTCAGCCAGTTCGTGGAGGGGAGGGGGCCCTGAACAACTCCATGCGTGAATGAGGAGGCGGGGTATCTGGGGTCCATCCCGCAGTCCCGCTGTGTTGGACAAGCCACAAGTCATAGGGGGCGGTTGTGAGGATTAAGCAAACCAACGTGTCTGCAGTTCAGTGACTGCCGAGAGTGCAGACGGGTAGCTCTGGACGACCCTGTCTCTGGTGGTGTCTCGGCAGGCTGCCAGGAGATAGCCGAGGAGTTCCGTGCCCAGGAGATCGACGGCCAGGCTCTGCTGCTGCTCAAGGAAGACCACCTGATGAGCGCCATGAACATCAAACTGGGGCCAGCCCTCAAGATCTATGCTCGCATCAACATGCTCAAGGACTCCTAGGGCTGGCCAGGGCAGCCAGGGTTCCGGCCCAGGACGCCTCCTCCCAGCTGGACAGAGCCAGACTGACATTCCTAAGGGGCCCAGGCACGGGCCACTGGAGGGCAGGGGCTCTCCCTGCGGGGCGTGGCTGGTGAGGAGGTGTTGCCACCTCCCAATGGCTCTCAGGGGCCTTTCTTTCTGTGGGAGGGGCAGAGAGGTAGGTGGTGCAGACGATGGGGCTTTATGCTTGTAAATAATGATAGCACTGGCTTCTTCCAAAGTCCCAATACTCTAGCCCCGCTCTCTTCCCCTCTCCGTCCCCCATTTTCCCGGGGGTATATGGTCAGGGCTCCCCAACCTGAGTTGGGTTACTTCCAAGGAGAGCCGTCAAGCCTGGACCGAGGCTTTGAAAGCCCTTGCCTTCCACGTGCCTCTCCAGGCCCGGCTCACCTCCTGCTGCCAGCTTCTCCCCCTTCGGCTTGTTTCTGAAGCAGCCAGGTGTTTTCCCCCAAGCCCCCTGCAGGTGGAGAGAGAGAAGCTGGGCCCGGTTTGGCCATGCCTGCTGGCACAGACGCCTTAAACGCTGTGTGTGTGACTGTGTGACTGTGTGGGAGCCTGGACTGACAGACGGGCCCAGAGCCACCCTCTGGCATCTCCAGGTGTTTTGTAGCAGCCACTAGTGCTTTGTCCTGGACTCCACTCGGCCTTGGGATGGGGATAGAGAAGGGCCACCCCAGTGCAGAGAGGCGAGGGCAGGAAGAGGCGGCGGCTGGCGGTTCCTCTCCCGACTGGTCACGATGTCTCCGAAGCCCCTTCCCCACACTGTGAAGTCCCCCTGACTGCCCTGCTGTGTCACAAACAACATTAAGGAAGCTGCCGGTGCGAGGCCTGGTTCAGGCTGAGCCCCCTGCCCGACGGGCCCTGGGAGCCCCAGTGGTGAGGCCCAGAGAACCTCTGAGGGGAGGGGCGCGCTGGAGCTGGAGAGCCCACGACATGAAGAAGACAGCCTTCGGCCTCCCACTCCTACCCTCGGCCTCTCGAACTTGTTCGCAGCAATCAGAGCTACTGCTGAGAGGGCGGGGCAGGAAGGGCGGGGCCTGCCTCTGACCCGCCCTGCCTGTCCCCCGTAGGCTCCCGGGGGGAGAGTGGGCCTCTCCCCCGAAGAGGGTGGCCGCCTTCCTCGGCTTGTTCTATTCCCCGCTCACACCCCAGGCAGGGTTGGAAATGAAGGACTTTTTTTAACCTTTTGTTTTTGTTTTTTAAAAATAAATCTGTAAAATCTGTTTCTTCTGTGCTTTTCTTTCGGGGGGATGCCTCCTGTCCCTGCAGGTATGGGTCCCAAATGGCTCCTTCTCACCCATCAGGAGAGGGCTGGGCCTTTGGCTTGGGATAGTGTATCTTCTGCACTCCACTGGGGCCAGGCCTCTCGAGGGCTCCGAGTCCCGGCTCTCACAGGAGCAGCATGTTCTGCGTCTGTTCCTCACGTGGGTGTCTCTGGAGCGGAAGGCCCAGAGCCCCTTCAGCTCGGAGGCCCCCTTCCCAGCATCCCACTGGGGAGACAAGACACTCCGGGGCCTGGAACATCTGGACATCAAGGCAGAACCCAGGTTCTCGCCCCTAGCAGACACTTTTGGTTGGTGCTGCTCAGTGTCCAGAATGGCCCCTGGAACGGCTTTGGTTCACTCAGCACTTTCCTGCACATTTTTGGATGCTGGAATAGCAAATTATTAAAAAAGGTAACGTTGTCCCTGAAGAGGTAACACTGAAGCCATACCACGGGAGGGAAAGGGCGTTCCAGCCCCGGGCAGCTCATGCAAAGGCAGCTGTAGGAAGCCGAGGCACAGAGCAGCCAGAGGTGAGTTGGTGGGACAGGTGTGTGCGGCCAACAGTGGATTCTGTTGACTGGGCCTTGTGCTGGAAACAAGGCCTTGGTGGGGAGCAAGACGCCGCTGTACCTGCCTGCACAGAGCTTAAAATCTCCCTGCGTCTATCGGTCTACCCCAGGGGCAAGGAAGAGGGGGGCAGCTTGGCCTCCTGCTCCTTGTCTTCTCTAGGATTTTCCTTAAGACAGTGTTTCCACTTGTTTAAAACACAGGTGATAAGCCCAGGCTTCGACCCACTGAATCAGAATCTAAGAGCCAGGGTGGTGGCCCTGGAAGATCAAGTCACAGAAAGAGCCAATCCCCACATCCTGATAAGGTCTTTCCAGAAAGCCTGTTAAAATGTAATTAATACCTGGAAGGGGAGGAGAAACAAACTGCTTTATTGCAGTTCACAGATACTGTACTTTTTACAAATTAAAGGCTGGTGGCAACTTTGCCTCCAGCAAGCATTTTTCCAGCAGCACTGGCTCCCGTGCGGTCTCTGTGTCCACTCCTGGGGCGGGGATGGTGGAAGATGCTGATACGACAGCAAAGGGTTTAGAATATGACATAAACTAGTTTGAAAGTTGTGTTGTGGGTTTCAAATGCTACCCAACAGCCTTACCTGCTGGAGAGAAATTGTTTGTGAAGGGAAGAGTCATTCAGTAGGGTCTGTCAGACGGTCAAGCGTCTTATTTTAAGAAGCTGCCACCCTGATCATTTGGCAGCCATCCACCTGGGGCCAGACCCTCCACCAGCAGAGATCACAGCTCGCTGAAGGCTCAGGTGACAGTGTTTTTAGCAATATTGTCAAACCAAAGTAACAGGGTATTTTAGACACAATGGTATTGCACACTCACTAGGCTACAGTATAAACATGAATTTTCCATACACTGGGAAACCAAAAAATGCACACGACTCACTTTCGTGAGACACTGGCTTCTGTGAGAAACTCGTTCCGTGAGATACTCCCTTTCCTGCAGCGGTCAGTGCCCCCAAACCTGCCGCGTCTCCCAGGTGTCCCTGCAGCTGACAACCCAGAGGGGTGGAGCCAGGACTGGAAGGTCTGGTTTTTCCAGGACACAGGGTATGGCCGGCAGGTTGTGGGGGCCAAATGCAGAGGGCACCCGGGGAGCACTGTGGACCTCGGTTTTCCCCTTCCGGCGAGACGACGAGAGCCAGGCCCCACCTGAGGTGTGTCTGTGGACGGTGGAGAAGGAGAGGACCAAGCCTCCCGAAGGGGGACACGGTGCGGAACTGACTTAAATGGATAAACACTGGCACTGTTTCCTTACTTCAGGGGACAGGCCCCAACCTATCGTAAGTTTGAAGGGTGCATTTGTAAATATCTATTTGCTCCTGTTTACACATCACACAGAATTTTTCAAGCCTTTTTTGATGAATATTCAGAGTGTTTAATGAAATGTTTCCGACCTTCATATACATACTTCAATATGTATAACCAAAATAAAAATATCACAAAACAATGCCTACCTCTATGTCCAATATATTTTGATATTTTCTTTTCCGTTTTCTTCCTGTTCTTCCTTTCTAAATCTCGATCACAATCCACAAAACTGACTGCACAGCCCACGGATGGATCACAACCTACACTTAGAAAACCCCGCCCAGCGCCCACGTTCCAGACTGATGCCGTACCACTCTCTCGTGCGGCTCTGACATTTGCCTGGGTGACTACACCCCATTTTCCTGATGGGGGTAAAGGACTCCCCAGGGTGACCTGTCCGAGATCACAGTCGGACGGCCAGCGCCCTGTCCAGAGCTCCATGCAGACCTGGGGTCTCACCCCGACCAAACCAGAAGGAAGGGGAAGTCAGTGCAAACCAGCACCAAGCCTCTGCCAATCAGAGCCGGCCTCACCCTGGGCCACTCTCCAGGTGATTGGCCCCAAGGGGGTTCCCAGCCCCCACCCCACCCTGGGGCCAGCTTACTCCAGCAGGTGCCACTCCTAAGCAAGTCCCACTAAAGGCAGGTCATCCCTGCCAGCTCCCGTGGGTGTGGTTCCAGGTGGCCTGTGACCGCTTTGTCCTGGTCACCAGAAACAGGTTGTTTCCGGCTCTGAGCCGAGCGAGCTCTTGGAAGGCTGTCCCGCTGGCCTCTCGACATGGCTCTCAAAGAGGGACCTAGGTGAGTGGGGGCACTGCCGCTGGGGTGGGGAAGCTGGGTGGGGTCACCAAGACGGTCCGGGGAGAAGGAGACTCTGAGAAGCAACATGGCCAAAGGGCAGGGATAGCAGGGAAGATCTGGGAGAACGTGCAGCCTGTGGGGTGCTGGGTAAAGCGTCTTTTTGCTTTAACTCTGAGCCCCTTGATGAGCCAGAGAAAGAAGACCTTGGGGCTGCACCCCCCACTGTAACTGAGAGGTCTCTATACTCCCCTGGGAGTAACTGTCCAAAATGGAAATTTGTTCCCATTTAAGACCTGATGACTGATCTTTAATGCCTTCTTGAAAGGAAGGAGGGAACAGGGCAAGGGGGTGAAGGGGCGTCCTTTAGAAAATACCTGAGAAAACTACGTGGAGGGACAGATGAGGCAGAGGCCTTGTGCACTAAGGGCTGCCAGCCCAGGGCATGGAAAGGGCGGCAGGAGCTGGCCGGTGCCTGCTGCAGACTTGGGTCTCAAAGCCCTCCCGGACCTGACAGTGTGAGCCCACTGGGGCCAGCTCTGCCTGGCTGCCCCAGTGGAGGCCCAGTGCCCACGATAAGCATCGGCTTGTCCTACCCTGGTTGGCAGGGTCCTGACGGCAGTGAGAGCAGAGAGAAGCCCGCTCCACCCTTTTCCTGCCCCACAGCACAAATGGACTCCCCTCCCAGGCAGCTGTGCTTCTGAGCCGGGGAGGCCCTGGTGCGGCCAGACCCGCAGGAGCCCAGCGTGCAGCTGGGGAGTGAGGAGGGAGAGAGGCTTTTGCAGGAGAGATGCTGACCTGCAGAGAACATGCGGAGCCTTGGGAGGAGCCACGCCTGTGGGGGAATAACAACAGGACCCTTGGAAGACGAGCCTCATGGCTGAGTTGAGGCCAGGTCATCGGTAGCCCCAAATGCCAATACTCTGGCTTGGGAGTTGGATCTAAGTTCAACCCTCAGCTCCAACACTTAATACCATATTTTGCCGTGTATAATGAGCACTGTTTTGCCCAAATTTTTTAAGGAAAAATAAGGATGCACATTATGCGTGGGTATAATGATTACGTATCATGGGTATATAATCCCGTGTATAATGCGCACAAAAACGTGAGTGCACACTACATGGTGAAATATGGTCGCTGTGTGACCCTGAGCAACTGATTAACCTCTCTGAGCCACAGTTCCCTCCTTCATAAAGTGGAGGTAACCACAGCATCTTCTTCAAGGGGTCATGGTCCAACTTCCACAGGAGAGGGATGTAAAACTGTCGGCCAAGACAGTGGAGTTTTAAGTGCAAAGGTGAAACTCTCAGTTGAGGAAAGGGAATGAAGAAAAAGAACCCAATGATTACCTCATTACTTTACTGAACAAATAATTATTAATACCACCAAACCATGAGGCTGCAGGCTGCAGATCTGGCACCGAGAATCCAAAGTCTAATACAGCAGAAAACACATGGCCTAGCAGGGCAGCCAGTCACAGGCCAGTCTGGAAAGTGCCACAGCAGAGGTCTGCACAGGGGGGGCCCTGGAGAGAGCAGGTGTTGGCCGGGAAGGTCAAGGAAGGCGTCTGAAGGGAGAAGCCGGGTATTGGGGAATGATCGGGAGCTTGGTGGTGGCCGACGAAAAGAGCAATCTGGGCAAAGATGTGGAGGTGAGAGGCCACAGAGTCAAAGCAAGTCCAGGACGCTTCACAGGATGCAGGCCGGGAGGACAGCTGCAGGAATCTACTTGGATGAGAAATGACGAGGCAGGAAGAGCTCAGTGGGGTGAACAGGAGGGAGCTTAGGTCTCTACGGAGGAGACAAATGCAATGGAGCTTGGTGAGGTGGCTATAAGGACAGGGAGAATGGGTCCCACTTGAGTAACAGTCATGGAGAACGCAGAAGGAAGAAGACATCAGGGGAAATGCAAAATGCAGTTTGGGAAGCCCTGAGTCTGAGGTGTCCGCAGGACACCCACATTGTTCCAGGACACACGATGCCCAAGTCCAGTGCTCAGCAAGGGGCTGCACCAGACACAAAGACTTCGGAGTCACTGGTGGAGAGAAGCCAAGGGGTGAGAAAAGGCGCCTAGAGAATCCTAGCTGAGTTGCAAATGACAAGAAGGGCAAGCCATGCACAGGTGAGCCAGGAGGCTTGGACTGGAACACAGCGGGGAGCACAAGAGAGATGGCAGGAGCCAGATAGAGGGAGCTTCGCAGCCCAGGCCCCAGGTTTCCTTCTAACAGCAGTGAGAAGTCACTGGAGAATGGAGTGTTGGGGGGCAAGAGCAGAAGCAGGGAGGGTGGAAGGGGTGCTACGAAGGGTATCCGGACAGTGGCCTGGGGTGCAATGAGAGGGGTGAGGTCACACGTGTTTGCGCCGGTGTTTGTGGTCGAGTCCACGGGGCTTGCTGGTGGACTGCATGTGGGGCGCGAGAGACAGGAGGAATCAAGGCTCCCGGGCCCTCGGTGTGAGAAATGGGGCACATCACTGCAACGGCCCTTCCCAGGATGCAGGAGACCCCAGTGGGGAGCAGGTTTCTGAGGAAAATCAAGAGTCCCCCTCTGGCTGACTTTGAGATGCTTGCAAGATATCCAAGTGGAGAGATCGGGGGCACCGACCCCCCACGTGTCCTCTGTGGCTATACCAGTGAGGCCCAGATCAGCCCACCAGAGGCCCCAGGCCGTGATTAGGCCCCCAGAGCCCTTCCCAGAGGGAAGTCTGATGTGGGGCATGGACCTCACAGGAGACGTTTGGTCACTTTTGCACACTTGTTTCCTTTTCATGGACCTCCATCCCCACTCCCCTATCTTCTTTGCTTGGATTCCTTCTAATTCCTCAGGCCCTAGCTTAGAGGTCACCTCCTCCAGGAAGCTTCCCTGACTTCCCACCTGCCAGGGTGCAGGTGACAGGTGACACTCTCCAATTTGCCCTCAGAGCATCTCGTATTGTATCCATCACAGCCTTCATTGGGCGGTGTTCCTTCCATTCACCCGTCTGCTGCTGACGACTGACCCGTCCCCTCCCCCCTCAGCCACCCCCCTTCCTCACACCGCTCCCTGAAGGCAGGCCCGTGTGTGACTCCCCCCTGACACCCGGACCCAGCACAGCACTTGATTGTGAGCTCGTACCCCACAAATGTGGTCGAGTGCACGAGTGAACAGAAACCGGGGAAAGCCTGGACGCGTAACCCTCTTCCACACTGAAGACGCCCCCTCCGCACAGACCCCCAGAAGCAGGAGTCGCTGGCTGACACGGGAGGGTCAGGGAAAGCTTCCGCTCTCAGAGCCAGGCAGCTTTCCGAAGGACGGCGGCGGCACACCGCACCGGGCGGGCCGGCCTGAGCGCGCCTGTCTCACTGCACTCCTGTGCTGTGGCCGGTGCTGTTCCTTGTTAAAATGTGCACATTTTATAGGCAAAACATGCCACCTCGTTCTAATTGGTAGGTCTTTGATGACTCGGGAGGGTGGACGTTTTTCCATGTGCGATCACTAAATGCACTTCTTTGAGGATTTGCCTGGTCGTGTGACGTGGAAACTGTGGAGGCGGGTTGGCATTTCGTGAGAGGTTCTCGGGGGCTCTTTGGGGGGTAAGCGTAAGCACAGGATGGTCCTGGTGAAGGACGGGCAGACGGGGTTCCTGTGGGGGCCGGAGGCACAGGGGGCAGGGAGGGAATAATAATATTATCATCACTAACTCTCTGTTCAGGGACAGTGATAATTTACTGAGCTATCTCTATGTGCGTGGCCTTGTTCAAACCAGTTAGCGCATAGTAACTCCATCACCGTGACAGCCCTCTGAGGTGGGTGTTCTTGTTATATCTGCATTTTACGGATGAGGAGATGAAAGGGCGGATATCAAAAACCTTGCTGGTGCCCAGACAACTAATAAGTGGGGGAACTGGGATTCGAACCCAAAGGCCTGGCCCCAGTGTCCATGCTTCTCACCACACGGGCCCAGCCTCTCCAGAGACAGGGGTGCACAGCAGGGGTGGGGAGAGCTGGATGAGACCCCCAGAACTTACTAAGATTCTCAACTTTTGAGGCTCTTCCTGGATACCAACCAGCCATCAACCAATCCCAGAGTCCACCTCCCCTGAGCCGAGCCCTGCTGGAAGAACCCAGCCCGGTGACCAGAGCCATGACAGACACACAGTCCCTGACCACAGCTGCCCTCCATGCGGCCCAGCAACTCATCCTTAGGTCCCAGACAGCTGTCACCCTCCAGCCACCAAGCCACAGACCGCCCTGCCGCCCCTCCCACACTCTTCCCCCATCCAAGTCAGCCCCAGCCCCTTCCCCGAGTGAGCACCCCACACCTGATGTGACCGACCCCAAACCTGCTTGGGGCCATGCACCCCAGCACTACTGGGGAAAGCAAACAATATGCACCAAAATGCTCATCAGAAGAGACCTGGTCAGGTAAACTACACTATTGCCAATCACTGTAAAAAAGGGTAAGGCTGCACTTTAAGTACTCAGATGGAATAACCTTGAAGACGTAACACTCGGCAGAAAATGCAAGGTGCAAAATGGCATGGCATGTCTACAGAGCTGTCATTGCGGGGAGGAGGAGGAGGCAAAGACCATTACAGAGCAAGGAGAGAAAAAGAAAGGGGGAGGGCTGGGATGGGGGAGAGCATCCGCTACTGTGTTTGCCACATTGCTTGTCGGTGCACAGACTGTCTGGGAGGACACACAGGACACTGGTGACACTGGCTGCCTCTGCGCAGAGAAAAGACCCTGCCCTGCACATATCCGTGTGTCTGCACCAGGTGAAGATAATATGTTTGATTGCAAAAAAAAGTAAAACGAAACATTAAATTGCACAAATAATTTCTCATATGTACATATAGATATCTTTGTGTATATAAATATAAACATAGGTATAAAGAGTATGTTGCCGATGCCCCTCCCCACCCCCCCAGGGCCTGGAAGAGAATCTTCTGGAGGCTGATCCTACTTGCAGTTGGCTTCTCAGGGCTGCTCCTGTACGGGTTCCCTTCAGTCAGGTACAGCCCTTCCCCCAGCACTCCAGGTGGGTCCCCCGGGGCAGGATTAACGGGAATCTTTCCAAGTGCTTCCCTGAGGGATGGAGGGTGGCGGCCATCCCAGCCCCTACGTGTTCCGTGGACTCTCCCTCCTTGTAAGGAGCAGAGCAACAGGCTCCTGAGCAGGCTGGCACACCCCTCACCACTGCCCCTGCCCAACAGGTATCTGGAAACCTTCATCCCCATGGGCACCTGCCCTCTGTCCAGAATGTCCCTGCTGAGGGACAACTTCTCGGGTCTCCTGCGTCTCTGGTAAGGAGATACTGTCCCTCCCACTCCAAGATTGCCCATATTCCCTACAGTACGAGCTCCAGAGTCGCTGCCCTCCTCACAGCCCCCACCCTGGCAGAGCCAGGTGGTCCACCCAGCAGCCCAGCAGGTCACACATCTCTCCACCCTGTGTATTAGTTCTGGACTAGGAACAGGGTATGCCCCACCTGCAGGTCCCTAGGGCCCAGCATGGGGAGATGGCAGTGAGCTTCACCAGGTGGGTGGGTGAATGGACCTATCTCTCATCCCTGCCCTGGCCAGGGCCCGACCGGAAGTCCTGACCTGTACCTCCTGGGGGGCCCCCATTATTTGGGATGGCACTTTCGATCCAGATGTGGCCCAGCAACAGGCTATACAGCAGAACCTCACCATTGGGCTGACTGTCTTTGCCGTAGGCAGGTAAGGCCTTGGGAGGAGAGCACTGCTGTCCCAGCAGGGCGTGGGAGGGCGTGCATGTGGTACGGGTGAGGTGGCGCCCTGTTCCCTCTGCCGAAGGGCCCCAAGGTGATTCGGAAGGCAAAGACAGCACCCTGGTCCCAGGGTGAGAACAGGACCACCCTTCTCCTTTCTGTCCTTCCTGGACACCAACACTGTGAGGCCACCACCCCCCCACCCCCCAGTGCAGGCAGCCAGGGGCTCAGAACCACGTCCTAGAAAAACCCTGCCCAGGGGCTGGTGGTCCATCTGGAAGCATCGGGTCTGTGGTGAGAAAACGATGGCGTCTTTCAGGTGAGGATGGTGAGACGAGGGGGCAACTGAGTGAATAGAGGAAAGGGCCCACCTGCGGAAAGTGCCCACTGGAGGTCAGTGGCTAGATGCAGGAACAAAGTAAGGGGAGCAGGAAGGCTTGGCAACAAGACTGATGGAGGAAAAGGGGCTGGGAGCCGAGTGGTTCCGCAAGGCAGTGAATCTGAGCTGGGCAGGAGGTGAAGAAAGGAGGGGACACTGAGAAAGGGATCCAGACCTGAGCACTCAGTGGGGCAGGACTGCTAGGGAGGGCATCGCCGAAGTGGGCTGGAAGGGTGGGGGGCACTCAGAATGGGGCAGACTGGTGATGGTGACCAGGCCAAGGGAGCAGACACGGGGGCAGGTGACCGAGGCGGGCAGAGGACAGAATCACTGCAGGAGAAGAGGCCAAATGGGGACTGGGGGACCCCAGACATGGAAAAGGAGCTGGAGAGCTAGGTGGAGAAGAAATCCCAGGGACACTGTCATCCCCACTGGGGATGGCAGGGCTGTCCGAGCCAGATGTCCACCTTCCAGATGCAAAGGGGACTCCTGGATGAGAGTGGAGATCAGATCCTGTGGCCCTAAGCATGGTGCACAGAGGTAGAATGCAGGGCAGTTAAAGGAAAAGTCTGTAACAACGGAAGAGACTGCTTTGGGAATAGAGAGTTCTGCATCCAGGAAGAGGTATCAAAATTGTGGGAAGGAATTCTGTCATCAGGTACCCCAGAGTTCCTTCAGCTCCTACCCCCACACTGCAGAAGGGACAGAAAGCCAGGAGGGCTCCCAAGGGGGCAGGGGGGCAAACAGGACCAAGGGCTGACCCATGGGCCAGGTGGGCAGCACTGCTGGCCTCTCCCAGCGCATTGGTGCCCCTACTTCTGTTCTCGATACTAAGTTGGGTGTTCTGCACCAGCCCTAGGGGTCATCCCGAAAATCCAGGGCCTTGGGATCCTGAATTCTGAGATTTTGTGAGTATAACACCCTGGGATGCTGAGGCTTCCAAGGTCTCTGATTCCAATCCCTCATACACCTACCAGGAACAGAGTAAGTACAGGTGAAGGTTCAAGCTCCAAGGCCAGTCTGAGTTCAAATCAAAGCTCTGTGACTCACCAATGCTTGCAGCAGCTCCCCAGTTACTACAGCTCTTCATTGCTGTTTCCTCCCCTGAAAAAATAGAGATGATAAACGGTGAGGACTAAATGCAACAATGTACATGGACTTAGAACACTGTCTACCACATGCTGCACGTTCAGAGACATTAGACATTATCACTCTTCTTTCAGAACCCTGGGATGCCAAAGTCTGTTAATACAAAGTTTCTGATAGTACAAACTTTCTGGTTATCTATGCAAGGAATGACCACAACCTTGGGGACTTAAAGCAACAACATATTAGCCTCATAGCTCATGATTTTGTGTGCCAGGAATTCCAATGGGGCTCCACAGAAGTGCTCCTCACTGCTCCCCACTGTCTGGGTCTCCACGAGGGCAGCCCACTGCTAACGACCGGAGGAGCACCTCTCCCCACATGGCCTCTCCGCATGGCTAATTTGGGCTTCCTCACATCGCTGCCACATCCAAATTCGGCGGTTTACATAAGCAAAGGCCCTGAGCCCTAAAGAGACAGAGGCTAACGCTGCCAGCCCTTCCAGGGCCAGCACAGCACCACTTCCTTGGGAGAGCTGAGTTCCAGGGAGGGAAGGCAGGGCCCTGAGGGCAGGGGTGGCCAACCCTTTCCAGTCATCTTTAATTTGTTTGCATGATTCTGGGATTGCAGTTTTCAAGAGCTCCAGTCCCACTGGAGGTTGCAGGATTACTAGAACCGAGGGGCTGAATGAGGAGGAGCAGGAAGTCCGAGTCGGGGAGGGGAGGCCGAGGGAGCGGAGGGGCTTCGGAGGGCGGCCCCTACCCCTGAGGCACCCCGGCCAGGGTGACTCCCAGCCCGCCCCGCCCCGCAGGTACCTGGACAAGTACCTGGCGCGCTTCCTGGAGACGGCAGAGCGGCACTTCATGGTGGGCCAGCGTGTGGTCTACTACGTGTTCACTGAGCGCCCGGCCGCCGTGCCCCGCCTGCCGCTGGGCCCAGGCCGCCGGCTGCGCGTGGAGCGTGTGTCCCGCGAGCGGCGCTGGCAGGACGTGTCGATGGAGCGCATGCGCACGCTGCACGCGGCGCTGGGCGGCCGGCTGGGCCGCGAGGCGGACTTCGTGTTCTGCATGGACGTGGACCAGCACTTCAGCGGCGCCTTCGGGCCCGAGGCGCTGGCCGACTCGGTGGCGCAGCTGCACGCCTGGCACTACCGCTGGCCGCGGCCAATACTGCCCTACGAGCGCGACGCGCGCTCGGCCGCAGCACTGGCGTCGGGCGAGGGCGACTTCTACTACCACGGCGCCCTGTTTGGGGGCACAGTGGAGGCGGTGCGCGGGATGACGGCGCACTGCGCGCGCGCCCAGGAGCAGGACCGCATGCGCGGCCTGGAGGCGCGCTGGCACGACGAGAGCCACCTCAACAAGTACTTCTGGCTGCACAAGCCCGCCAAGGTGCTCTCGCCTGAGTTCTGCTGGAGCCTGGAAATAGGCCGGCGGGCCGAGATCCACCACCCGCGCCTGCTCTGGGCGCCCAAGGAATATGCTCTGGTGCGCGACTAGGAACCAGGGCCAAGCCTCGCCCCGCCTGCAGGATGGACACTTTGGGCCCTGGGAGGATGTGGAGTGGCCAGAGCAGCAAGGATAGACCCTGAAGCCATCAGGGATCCTTCTGGAAGCAGTATGGCACTCTGGAGGACAAGGAGAGACGGGACAGAAACAGCTCTGCCACCTCCTGCATGTGGAAGGAGGCCGCCCTGGCCTTTGAGAGTTTTGTGTTGGTCCCAGCCTCTGAGCAAGGTAGTGGTTGGACCTGCGCATGTGGTTCTTTCGTGATTGCAAGATGCCCTTCGGCAAAAACCCATCAGGACACTAAAGAGAATAAAGGTTCATTATTTACAGGACCCAGAAATTACACAGCACACCTGGGGCCACACGGCAAGGTCTAAGGGGAGAGGGTGAGCCCGGGGTTCCGCTTTTATCGGGATCCAAGCCAGGCTTCTAGGGTTTCGTGGACTCTTTTGGTGAATTCAAAATATGAGAGCAGAAATGTAAAGCTCAGGAAGAGAAAAAAACCAGGTGGCCAGAGGTGTCTAGTTACTGTAATCAACCGAGATCTCTCAAACAAAGGATCCTCAAGTGGGGGGTGGGGGGTGGCCTGGTTCTCTGTAGTCGGGAGGCTGGCAGTGTATTTATTGGAGATAACTCTCTTTGAAGTGACTTCGTTGGCAGTCAAAGCTTAAATCAGGCACTACAAAAAAGGAAAAGAAAAAAAAATAGGCAGGGAGCTTCTCACTTGGAAGATCTCCTTTTCCTCATTTTCAACCGGGACTGGGGCATACAGACCATTCACCTCTGACCTTCCTGACTTCAAGGGATGCCTCCTAAGGAGACGTTTTAGCAACTACACCCTCCCCCTTGTCAGGAGGAGACTGAGGCACAGAAGGGAACGTAACTGCCTGAAGCCACAGAATCTACAGGAGCTTGTGAGGTTAGCCCATCAGACCAAATAAAACTGCCTGGGGGCACGAGCCACAGAGGGAGAAACACGGGTGGCTTTGACTGTCACCTCCCCCACGCTCAAGCATCGCTTGCACATATTTAAGTAATACTATTGCAAATGAAAAGGGGCTGTGCAATAAGCAGCGGGCACATGGCAGGCCTGACAAGCTCAGCAGCCACATACATGCCTGACCGGGCGGTCCCTGGTGGGCAGTCACAGCCCAGGCCTAAGGCTTCTTCAGCAAAGTCAGTCTTTACCTCCAGTGAGCCCTGTCCACTGCTCTTAGGTATCTAGGGCAATGTACCTTCGAGCTGTCAGAGCGCTTTTCGTTTCTGTTCCCCTCAAAGGCACAGCCGCGGGCACCGAGCACAGAACGCCACCAGAAGCCCCCTGTGTCATCTTGTTCCGTGCACACCATCTCCCTGTGCTGTCCACGCTCAGTACTAACTCTCCTGCGCCCACCGATGTACAGTTCTGTGTTTCCCCACTTTGCTTGTTATCCAGTCCCAGAGATGTCCTCACCTTGCGTTCTCCCACCTCCCTAATCTCCCACCAATGGATTGCATGCACCCTCCTTCCATTTTTCCCCCTTGGATTCTAAATGCATAAAAGGAACCGAAAAACTGCCTTTCTTCAGAGTATTTTCTCAATCTTCTGAGATTCTGCTTTCAGGCATGTCTTTAAAATTGGGCTCAGATATACCTTTATAAGACTTTTCTATAGGCCGGGAGTTCCTTCTGTTGGTATTATAATAAAATAATTATTCCAACATATCCTTGTGGCCCTTTTCTCTGGAGAGTCAAAGTCCACGAAAACGTCATTTCCTTGTTGCTGGGGTTCATGGTTCTGTTTGGCCACAGTATCTAGGAGAGAACTTTTCTCATCCATGACTCCTGGCCAGACTCCTCATCCTCAACAGGTGAAAATGCAGGCTCCCAGTAGGAGCATGAAGTCAGCAGGTCCTCCAGGAAAGGTGGTCACAGAGCCAAGGAGACGGGAAAGGTGCCTGCTGGGAGCCCCCAGCCCCTGTCTGACAGCTGGGAACACCAAGACCGGGGAGGGTGGGACCTCACACCAGGCCTCCTGAGTCCTGTGTGTGCTGTTCTCACAGACTTGCATTTTTACAGCCTCCACTCTTCCCAGGTAGGATAGCAGCGCCGCCTGGACACCAATCCTGATGATGTTTACAATTGAGTCATTTTTACAAGCAAGTTCCAATAATGTGAAATAAAATCTATCTCCCCCCTCAACATCGCTGCAAGTTTCCCTAGTGCCTCCTACCTGAACTAGAGAAGCAAAACCCAGAAGGCCTTTTGACCTCTGGAGTGTGCCCAGGAACAGGTCACTGCGTGATGACTGTGATCTGGCACCTCCCTTCCCCTGAGACCTGCCCCCATCTTACCCTAGGACGTCCCCTAAGGGTCACACACTCGACCCTAGGGCACTAGAGACTTGAGCATGCGCAGGTAAGGCCTGGGTGGGAATTAGCTGCCCTTCTAACTGTGTGTGCCTACAGGCAGATTCCTCACCTTTGCAGGGTCTGTTTCCTCCCACACAATGGGGATGCCGGGCGCCCCGCCTGCAGGGGTTGTGGGGCTCCAGGAAACGACTTTTCTTCTCCCCCTCCCATTCTTCTCCCCCCCCCCCCCCAGCCTGCCCTTCGCTGGCAGGTTCATGGAGTCAGAGCTGCACTTACTGGGTACTTTCTAAGTTCTCCGCACAGTTCTAAGCATTACACATGTATCAATTCATTTAATTCTCACATCCTCCCTATAAACTGGTGACTATTACATCCCTCATTTAAGCATGAGAAAATCAGCACAGAAGGATTAAGTACCTGCCCAAGGTTACACCACTAGCAACCAAATTCACTGATGTGAGAACAAGCAGGAAATTAAACCTGGCCAGAAGGTAAGAGACTGAAAGCTGGGAGCCAAGGTGCCACTGGCTCTTGGTGTCCTCTGGCCATCACTGTTGGGCTCTGCCTGCTGCATCCTCCTCCCTATGTCTGGCCCCACACAGCCACCCAACCCCTAGTCCACAGGGTTTGCCCGTGCAGGTGCCCACCATCTCCTGACTCGTTCTTAATTCACGGAACCTCCAGGAATGGAGGATCTGACTGAAGAGTCCGCCAGGGCTGTGCTGGTAAATGTTTTGGCAACTGGCTCTGGGGAAAAAGCAAGCCCCAACCTGCAGGGATTTACACCAGCATGTAAATCCCACCGTGGTGGGTCTCCAGCTCTCACCAAGTGCAGAGTTCAGAAGAGGTGCGCACAGCCCACTCCCTGGGGCCAGTGCTGCCAGCACAGCAGGTCCCTGAATGACACTTCGGCCCACGTCACTACCATGTAATGCTGATGAGAACGCAGTGTGAACTAAACTTGTTTTTCTATCAGTTAGTCTCTAGTAAAATTAGTTTTGTTATATGTTGTTTCACTTAAAGTCACAGAACCTAGCACGATGTTAAATGAGGACTTCACTGTACACACCACGGGCACCACTGGGGCCACTGGTCCAGGAGTCAAGGTGCTGAGTCAGGTGGCCACCCCTGGCCCACGGGCTGTGCCTGGGAGTCACGTGATGGAAGATGGCCAGAGCCCGCCCCCTGGCCACGCAGGCTGTGGGAGGTCAGTTTCGGAGAGAAAGGTGAGTCCTATGAGAAGTGAGGGTACTTCACACGTGTTCTTGGCTGCTCCTGTGTGGCCCACTGTGACAATAACACATCCTGGTGTCCTCCGGGGAGATGGTCCTCAGATGCGGGCTTTGCCCTCTGCTCCAGGTGCAGAGCACCGGCGCTAGGCCCAAGCCAATCACGGACAGACATTCTGGTCACGTGACAGATTCAGGGCTGCTGCCTAACCCCGTGCAAACCAGGAAGACCCAAGTGGGCTTTTGCTGGGACTTCTGGGAGAGACAGAGGCTTGACTTTGGGAACCTGGGGGCAGTGAGGCTGGAGCTGCTGACTCCACAGAAGCCGGAGGGTAAAGCTGACTGGGGACAAAGTCAAGTGGAGCCCTGAAGCTGACCTGACCCTGCAATGTCATTAAGCCAATAAATCCTCATTTGCATTGAGCTTTCTATACCTTGCAGCTATGAGTCTCCCACACACAAGGACTTCAAGGGCTGGGAGGAGTTCCCAATGGTGAACCCAGTGACTCAGGACTAAGTCACTCCTACCTCTTCCATATCGCCTAGCACGGGGTCAACCTTGATAAACTTTGAGTGAATTAATTCCTGCATCTCTCTCCTAAGCAATCAAAACATTGACCTCCGTGGGGTAAAGCACACCAAAGGGACTTCTTGGCCCCTCAATCACAGGAATAGCCTCACGAGTCAGGGCATCCGTGATGGTCCCCCAAAGAGGGGCAGGGCACCTGGACACAGCTGCCCTTCTGGAAGAGGGGGCAGTGATCCTCACTGGTGAACCCCATGTGTCTAAAAAGGCTTCCGAATCAGGCAGACCTGGGCTAAATTTATGTCCCTTAACTGCAGCATTCGGCAAAATACCTCTCTTGGTTTGCTGCCCTCTTCATAGAGGGCTGGGAGGGCACCAAGCGCTCAGCTGGGCAGGCTGGAGTGAGACCAGCCCACAGGGAGCTGCTCTTTCCCTTCCTGCCTGAGTCTGGGGGCAGGGGAGGGGGAGGGGAGCCGTGGAAAGGCGCCCCCCCAGCACAGAGCACACCACACATGGCCGCCGCCCGGGTGCAGGTACAGTTTATTCTTCACAACAGAGAAATACAAAGAGCAGAGGGTTCGGAATTCCTTTGTGTCTTGCCCCCTTTAGTGTTTTCCCCCACGTTTGATTTTTTTTTACTCCCCACCCCTTTTCTTAAATATAATGCAAACTTCTTTCCTGAAGCGTTGAGGGGCGCCTGCACTCACCTCCCTGCCACCCAGATGCAGACTGAGAAGCCAACAGACTGTTTTCTCTTTTTTAATAAGGTAACTAGTTCTAAATACGGTGGCCTGCAGGTCCCGCAGAAAAAGCAAAGGGTGTTGACAGTATGTATAACAGCGTATTTACAGGGTAGTAACATGCGGACAAAAGCTACAATACTGAGTATCAGACGACGCAAGTCAAACAAAGGGGTGGGGGCGGGGGCAGAGAACCCCGTGGGAAAAGAAACCCCAGGAAACGTTAAACTGGTAAATCAATGGTGAGTTAAGGCTTAAAAAGTGTATAAAAATAACACAGTTAATATTCAAAACGGAACTCCAGATACAGAATATATAGATGAGTTTCTGTCTAGTTTTCTTTTTTTTTTCCCGGGGGAGGGAGGGGACTTCTCCGGGCTCTGTACATGGTTCCTATATACACGGACACGCATGGCTTTCAGATTGGGGTGTGCCTGTGGGGGCTGAGGGCAGGGGCTGCTCCTGGGGACCCTCCTTTTTGAGGATCCCTTCCCTGCCCAGGGGCCTAGGGCCTGGGCTGGGGGTTCCCCCTCCATGGCAGGGAAGACAACCCCTCCCTGGGAAGTACCCCATCTGGAGGGAATTATGGAGGGGGTGCTAGTCCCAGACCCACTCCCTCCCCATCCCCTGGCCCACAGTCTGGGACGGCAGGAGAGGTAGGCAATAGGTTTCCTGGCCAGCACCGAGGTAGACTGGGGTGGTCCGAAGGGCAGCGGGGGGCCAGGTCTTACCCAGCCCACCCCCACTCCGTTTCCCTGGGCCGGCGCCCAGCCCAGCCCAAGCTGCACCCTTTGGTCCTTCGGCTCTCCCGGCGGCCCGTCTCTCGTTTCGCCTCCTGAGGCCTGGGTAGCTGCTGCCTCCCTCTGGTCAGTGTTGCCCAGGGTGCAGCTCAGGGCCCCAGCTGGGCACCCAAGACGAGTGGCTCACTCTAGCTGCCTCCTGCCCCTCCCAGTAGGGGCCCCCTTTGCAGTCCAGAAACCCAGGCCCGGGCCTTCCCTCCAGACTAAGGCCATGGCAAGAGAAGTTCCCACGCTGCCCTCTGGTTCTCTGTGTCCATCTGTCCGACTCTTTTCATTTCTCGGTCTTAGCAGCACCAACTTCTTGGCCAATAAATATCTTTTTTGTTATTTCCAAAACAAACTAAAAATAAAAAATAAAACAGTGAAGCAAGTGAAGGGTGGGGGAGAAAAAGAAAACCCAACACAGAGGTTCAAAGTGCTCTGAGATTGTCTTTGGATGCCACCAAACAGTCCAGAATCTTGCAGTTGGCCTGGCCACCCCCGGAGCTAGACCGGGCAGGGCTTCTGCGGCCCAGGCTTTCTGGAAGGTCAGGAAGGTCATGAGAGAGCTCGGCTGTTCCTGGAGGGCCCTGGAGGGGGGCGGGGCCTGGTGCTGCCTGGGTCTGTGTCTGCCAGAGGGCAGGGCGGCGCCTGGGTCGGCTCAGATGAGGGAAATTCGCACCGGGATGCCGGGGGACTCCGTCCTCTGGGGCGAGTGATGGCTCACCAGATGCTCCACCACCGTGTGTTTGGACATGTGCTTCATCAGGTAGGTCTCCTGTGGGCGGGGGTGAGACTCAGAACATAAAACCAACAGAAGGTGGCAAGGGAGGCAGAAGAGGCTGCAGTTCCCCCAAGTGGCCACTGGAGGGCTCCTTGGCAGGTGGGCCAGCTAGTAGTGAGCAGCCACAGCTGTGGGGGGCAGATAGGCATCTATCTATCTGCATGGGTTCCAGGGATGCTGCATGGCAGGCCTGGGGGCTGGCTCACTGACCAGGGTCTGAGCCCATGGAGTGTTAGCTGTCGAGCCAGCAGGTCAGGATCGCCCTCAGCTGTGCCTACCTGGAACT